CAACTCTCTCCTCCCTTCTGTGTGTGGCAGCAAACCCACTTAAAGGATACTACTGCCACTTAATGGGCTGGAGTTAGAAAGTCAGTGCTTTAATTTTGTTAAATGTAATGTGACTGAAATTTTATTTAATTCAAACTTACTTTATTGATACCAAAGGGGAATAAAATGTAGTATGTATCAATAGTTGCAGACAGTCAGCCAAACATCTACTGTAGTGGTCTGGAGAAGCCTTTCACTGAATTTCCTCTATTATAACTTAACAGTCCTCACACAGTTGATTCTGTGTTGTGAAATCATCTCCAAAGGTTCTAGAGGAGTTCCTCCATTGACTTTTTTAGCTTTCTATAAATCTTTGTCTGCTACTATGGTCAGAAAGCACTCAGAGTGACACTGGGGTCATGGATACAGTAGGATACTGTAGCCAGTTTTTTGTAAAACACATAATATTGCATTAACAATATTCTGGTTGACTTTGCTTTTGACTGCACTAAGGTCATTAACATAAAAAGCCAAAAGCTTTATAGGAGACAAAAACTGAGACATGACATATTTCTTTCTGATTCCTATATATAATATTTTACTACATGTTACAAAGAGTTTCATTATGACTTAAAAAAATGTAAAAAAATTAATTAGTTTTTAGCCTGTCTTTAAAATCCTTCCTTCATGTTTTTCAAATGTTTCAACGATCTGTCCATACTTACTCTGTTGGAATTCCTAAACGAATAATAACTGAGTGCCAAGGTGTACTGGAATGGAAGCACTATTAAACTCGATTAATAATAAGAAAAAAACTGCATATTTTCTTATAAAATAACAATTTGGGATTGTTCTGTAGTCACTTAACAACACTCCTTATGTTTCCTTGTTTTAAGAGCAGCTTGAAAAAATTGAGATTTTAATAAGTCTGAAAAGGTTCCTGAGATAAATGGGCCATTTACAATATGCAACAAATCCACTGACAAAGAGCTAATAACACCTTTGAGGAGCTTGTAGGTGAAATATTTAATAAAGAAGGAGATTGTTTAAGATGTTGCCTTAATTCTTCCAAACTGCTGTTAATAACTGCAGCAAGGCAAAGGAATCATTCTTATTGTGGTTATGAGATCATGATATCAGTGCAGGGTTGAGCAGGTCTAATTAAGTGTCTAATATTTTCAACTCATTTGACTGTCAAGCTGGTAGAATACAAAGTGTGCATGCAGAATAGCCTTTAAAAGGATGCAACAAAGTATTTGATTTGTGACTGTTTCTTCTTTGCTGTTAGAAAGATAGACATTTCTAACACGTTTTACAGAACATAGCACAAATACTGTATTTACCATGGCCAGTCTGACTCTCTGACTTAGTTCGGCTTCTCTGCATTCCTTGTCGGGGACCACTGATTCGGTAGCCTTTTTATGGTGCTATCTATTTTTCATTGATCCTAATTTACTTTTCAGGTAGACCCTGAGTGATAGAAGTGAATTGTTTAATTTGAACATCTACCATCCTTTCATAATTTGGAGAGCAGGGCACTAAATATGCCACCATGTCATCCCCATTACTACCAATTTTACAATACTATACCCAGACTAATTAGGCAGCTACAGTTCAAATGTGTCAAATAAATCGGAAAGCTTTTTAACAGTTATGCTATTATATCAACCTCTAAAAGCATTAAAGCTTCTTAATAAAAAAGAAAAAAATGGAGAATCTTGCACCTTTAGTGGACAACGTTTCAGAAAACTCATAAATGCAGTCTTGAGAAAACTTTTACATTGGTCCAGGGATATTCATAATTTCTTTTGGGAACACTTTAGCCACACTGAATATTTGTTTAAAAAGTTTTCCTTTTTTAACTACTCTCCAAGAAAACAGTGTATACATAACATTCACTGATGTCAAGAGGGATTCAGTTTTGTATTTTTTTTTTTGTTTTCTTTATAATAAATATTTGAAGCTTCAAAAATTTATCTTTTAGAATTTTTAGGAATTTTTAATGAATAAACGATTGCATTTAAACAGAAAAGCCAATGGCAAAAAGCTCAATTCTGGTACTTCAGGCTTATTAACAGCTTGAGATCAATTTGAATTTTAGGTCTCTGTGGTTCAGTTCTCCAGTACCAGACATTTGTGTTTTCTGTCAGACCTTAGGTCCATATCTCTGTTACACACCAAAGTATTATATACCAACAAATTTTCAAATCGGAACTGTAAGGATGTCAAAATGTTGATGCTGGTACCTCCTACATTACAAAGAAAAAGATCATAACTTCAGAAAATATTTTAATAGGAAAAAATTATAAATATAAACAAAACAATACCCATATGAAAATTTGTTGGCACCAACCTGCAAAATCATTAATTCACTTTGCTTAGACACATTTTCTAGTTCAACTTCCCCGGAGCCATGCCAAGTCAGTGAAATCTATCAAGCCAGATTTCTAGTTAGTAAGTGGTTGTTTTATGGACTGCAAACTGAGAGCCACCATCCACGAATGCAGAAAGCATTGAGTGGTGTGAATCTTCTCAGGAGTAAATGGCTTACCTGAATACCTTGAGTGCCTTGACAACTCTCTTAGGACATGACAGAACCCTGAACAACTTAAGGCATTTTATGTGGCACTCAACTTATTCCGAATAACAAATTTAAAGCATCCTTTACCTGAGTATGACAGTGTGGTAGGGGGGCTGCATGGCACAGGAAAGGAAGACCAGCCCAGATGGTGAGGACAATGGAATATCGTCTACTGGACTTGGACTCAGATTATGCTGCATGAGTACTAACAAGGGGAAGTACATTGCAATGGATTCCACCCAGATGACTGTTTTTGCACTGATTGTCCAGACTTCAGTCAGAAAAAGAGTTCAGAAAAGATAAGTCCACAACAGACAGACTTCAACAGTTAACTTTCCAAAGCTCTGAAGCCATTTTCCCCCTGCAGTTATAAACTCATATTCCATCTCCCCTTCACAAGAACACACACACCTGTCCTAAGACAAATGCAACAAGATCACATTACACCTCGGCTAACAACCAAATAAACAATCCATTTCATCGAGTGTTTCAGCAGAGCTGCACTTTATGTAAATATTACATGTAATACATTCACAGAAAAATATTCTATATTTAATACTTTATGCTCTTCTTTTTTAAGGCTGTTTTTTTGATACATTTTTAAAGGTCCTCTCTAAGTATGCTCACTTTCGTAATTTTTTTTTGCACCTCTTTATTATATGTGCATTCTGAGGCAGTGCAAGATCAACATTTAGATCTGTTCACATAATGTCGAGAGTAATTTGTTCCAATATTTATGAAAGCAAAGAACACATGCACAGAACCAATAGAAATGAGTCTATTAATCAGGGACGATAGCAACATAATTTCTATTGGTTCCCTCCATGACCACCCAGGAGCCACGGGTTTACAGAATGTAAAGTAGGATTTGAAAAGAACATCTGGAAAAAATACAATTTCAAAAAAATTATGAACATAAAATCTACCCGCCTGCCTTAAAATCTAATAAAAGCGAAAACATAAAATCGAAAATATAAAATATCTGAAAACAGTAAAAAAAGTAAAATGTTAATTGAAGTTCTGCATTCTTATAATAATTCATTCTGCAAACTTTTTTAAAACAATTTTAAATGTTTTCAAAGCTTCACTTCTGAAATGCGTCTTTTTTATTTATTTTCTTTTATAAATCTTTATTAAATGTGTTCCTTTGTTTCCGTAATATCAGAACAAATTTCTGTTCATGACATCATGACAATAAAGACTTTCAAATATTTGAGAGAGAGATTCAAGGCCAAATCAGCCAAAAACAATATAAAAGCCTCTCTAAAATTTAAAAAGAAACATCTTCATAAAGCCCAAGATTTTCTGAAAATGTTCTTTGGAATGAGGAGTCAAAGGATGAACTTTTTAGATAGAGAAGAAAAACAAGTAGACGGGGGAGCTGTATTTTCATTGTACAGGATACAATAAAGTAAAGACTACAATTGTATATCCAAAAGATGACCAAAAAAGATGTAAAAGATGGTAGACAAAACATGGTATTGTAATTGTTGTTGTAATTGGCGTTAGGTATAAATTAAAAAAAGTTTTTTTTAATCCAGTCAGGTAGTTTTGGTCCGATACTATCAATAGTTTGATGATCCAAAGTATGACAAAATGGTAATAACAGAGGATATCAGTAAAAAGGGATATGAGAGGCCGTACAAACCATAAGTCATACTGCTACTCTTACATACGTTACCGTATCTCTCACATACATGTATTGTATCTATCATACATATTCCCCTCTCATAAACATGTATATTCTTCCACATAGAGACATTCTTCCCGCACAAACATACAGTATTCTTCTCTCACACATATACATTCTAGTTTCTAAAGACACTAGAAGGTTTTTTCAATCTATTGGAATGTTTAGAGCAAATGCAAAAAGATCTGCAGATTCCTTTGTTCATGAGATGCCAAAGATAACTTTACGACCATGTATGTATCTTACCGTGATCGAAATAATATCCCAAAAGAATTTTTATTGAAAAGCCTTAAACCTAACTCAAAATCTACAAGAAACAGTAAAAAAGAAAATAGAATAAAATTAATCATTTAAAATCTTTTAGATTTTTTCAGAAAAAACTAACATGATTAACTTAATGATTTTATTAAGTGATTATAAAATTATTCTTAAATCCTTTGAAAAGAAATTACAAAAATTTCAACTCTACTTCCAGCCTGACCTTAATTTATACTCACAGCAATTCATTTGTGATATTATTACACATATTATTATAGGTTTGGATGGCTCAAGTATCCCATGACTCAGTGTTGTAAGGAGTATTAAAATACACTTAGGTCAGGGTTGGTGGATTACATTTAAATTGAAATGAGATTCTACTCCTCAGGGGGAAATGTTGCCTGTATTACTGTTTTATTCTCTCCAAATGCGTTCTTGTAGTTGGTGCCCTTTTTCAAGCATGAATGCTGTCCACTGACATATAGTTGGTTGAAACAGCTTGTCCAGGAGATACTGCTGCTAAAACGCTGCAACGCTAATTTTCTAAGCATTTTAGGCTTCTCCTGCAACTGATGACATTTGTATATATTTACATGCTTGCTCCACCTTGTAGGCCTCAGTCTCTTTTAGATGCTTTATCAAAAGAAACAGCTTTTGGTAAATGAGATGATGGAAAGCCAATGGAACACACATAAGGGGAAAACAGCATTTTATTTTTTTTTAGAAATATATTAACAAAAGCTGAATCAAATAGACTTGTATCACTGCATTTAAGGTTCATGGGAGCTCAAAACAGACTAATCTCTGATGCTGCAATTAACGTTTCATATCAAATGCTGTCATTTGGAACAGCCTCAGAGCCTCTGAGGTTGTTGGTGAAAAAACCTAAAACATACAAAGCCTGATTTAGAGTGGAATCTGAATGCAAAGAAAGCAGACAGCGTAGAGAGTGAAGTAGAGTGTGTTAGTGCTTTTTATTTAGCTGAAGAACATAGGTTCTAGGTCAGAGACACCTACATGTCAGCGAGAACTTTCACTTTCTGAAAAAGCTTGTTTGGCTAAACCTTTCATCCAAATCATACGCAAAGTTATGCAAAAAAAACATAAACAGCAGTGAGGTAAAAAAAAAAATGTTCATCACGTAAAAACCTCATTACTATGCTGTTAGAACTTGGATTTAAATCTATGTCTGAGAAAATAAATTGTTGTCTGCTTGCCAAGGGTTTTATTGGGATTTATAGTCAAAACCAGACAGACATACACCACGCTGTTCAGCTTTAGTCTCTGCATCTTGTGTGGTTGACACTGCACATGGTTTTCACAGCCCAGATTTGCAAGTGTAATATCTGTAAATCTAAATATCCTTTTGTCAAAATTGAACTCCTTCCATATTTGTTCTTTTCCCAGCGCTCTGAGAGCTTCATTTTTAGCTCATGACTGCTCATGCCCGTTTGCTTTTGTGCATGTGCGCTAATCTCATTTCAGTTTTTCAGGCCAGTGAAAGGGAGAATTTAAGCAATGAGAGCAATGCAAGACAGCCACAGCTGACCACAGTGACGTAAGCTGGACTGAAGCTGCATGCACACACTTTTTTTCCCTCACCTCTATATCCACTTTTCCACCGTGGGATTAACCATCAATGGCTCCTCAGTGTGAATATATGTATGAGGGCAGGAGAAGCCAAGAGATTCTTCTTGCCTACATCATATCCTTGTATTTAGTAGACATATTATCAATTTTAGTCTCCTCCCCTTACTCATTTCTTAAAATAAGTTCAGGCATGACGCAAGATTTACTGCTTTCATTTATTAAATGATTTTTGTATGAAAAAATAGGTTAGCACAAAAAAGTAATTTTTCCAATGAATATATTACAAGAGATGATATTCCATAGCAACTTCAGGCTTTGAAATACTTCAAGAGCATGCTTCGTGCAACATCGAATGTGCCCAGGAACAACAAACTGACAAAATCCAAATAATCTGGTGTGTTTAAGTTAGCTGATTTTAAATATATTATTTCTAAGATACTATTATAGGTTATTCTGACATAATTTTTTTCCCTATAAACATCACTAGAGGTTCCAGTTTGATTATTACAGTGCTTATTTTTTGTCCTCTTTTGTTGCCTTTAAAAGCAGTTCTGCCCATTAACACCCGACATGGTGTTCTGGATCTCTAACTAAATAATGACCTGGTTGCTATGTCTCTATTGTGCTGACCTGCTGACAGCTTCAATTAAACTGCTTGTATCATTTTTAGCAAAGCCCCGCTTGCCAACCCCCCAACTGGGATTTCACCAGCATTTAAATAGAGCTTGGTTGACAGCCTTTGCAGAAAAGCTGAACAAAAAGTTCCATAAATTTAAAGTGAATATATTACGTTGCTCAGCTTAGCTGTGTCTGAAAAAAATCTGAAGTTGAAAATGAGCAGTCACTTGTACTGTAACCATGTCTGCTCATGAACAGAGCTGAACACCATCAGTAATCACATCACAAAGGTGATATGTTGGTAGTCCAGATATGATGTGTACTTGTCAGAGCACAATAAAACACATCTGCCTCAGCAACTGTGACACATGTAGGAAGTGCAATTCGGCTGATTTGTGCAGTTCAGTGGGTTTTTCACTTTGCACTAAGGCTGTTTCCAGCTAAGTGGCAGCTCGAAACTAGTGACACTTATAGACAGAGACCTACAAAGACAACAAAAAAAAATTGTGTGGGCAGCAGATTTTCGCCTGATAACATCCAAGGTTAACATTATCCCTAACAGCAGCAGCTTCTGCTTATTTACTTTTATTTGAATTCAATTCTATAATAACCAGGGTGTGTTGTTGCAGCGCAGTTTGGAAAATACTGGGAGCACAGCAGCTGATCTCTCTCTGCTTTGCTGTGCAGTCACAGGGTCAAGTTATTGTAGTCACATTAAGGGGGGAAGAAAAATAAAACAGGGAGGAGGAGGAAATGATTTTCTGTCATTTTTCCCTGTAGTGTGAAACGTATGTTCAGCCCTGGAACACAAAAAACATGAGGGTTTAGCAAGAGCTCAGAAACGCATCAACACACCGGCATCAACACACCAGCATGTCGCAGACTGAGTGTGGGAAACATGAAAGAAGTGCTGCCCTGCAACCTGACTGTTAACATCCAGCTTTTACCTGTTCGCCTTTACATTACTTCTCCAATGATATCAGTTTTAATTATAGAAAGCTCAACCAAATGAATCAACTCTAGAAACATCTAATTTCCTTTTAGGATTAATGAAGAATTTTAAATTACATTGAATTAATGGCATTACAAAAGGTGTAAAAATGTTTTTCCTAGTTTAGGTAGTAAAAATGTGTTCTGTCTATTTCTACATTCAACACACTCTAAGTAAGAACTAAATTCTCCAATTTGATTAGGGTTAGTATTGATACTAATTTTTTTAATGGGTCAGTAACTGGTGGTAATATTAATGAATGCATGAAACAAACCAGAGCTAACTGTACTAAATTAGTTCTTTCATTAGTTGTCTAATCTTATTCCCTGACAAAATGATGGTTTCTAGCATTGCCAGAACATTCCTTTAATGCTCAAGGATAAGTACAGTTCTTCAGCTCTGTAGCCCCCTTTTAGGTATGAAATTAAACCTATTCTATACACATGCTGAAACTTACAGGGTAAAGTAAAAAAAAATACAGAGAGAGCTGTGAAGCACAGGAATAATCCCTTGAGGTATAAAAAAAAGACAGAAAGAAAGAAGATGGCAGAGAATATGCAGAAAAAGAAAAGGAGGGAGTTTGCCTCCAGTCTCAGAACAGAGGAGGATCAAAGGTTTGTGCTCTGCATCTCAATGGACATCCGGTCACCAATACTGATGAGCCAGGGCGTGTGATGCTCCATTCACAGGGTTTATATCTTATGGGAAAACAAGTGGTCATTGTGTGCAAATAATTAAATGTCTAGATGGTAGAATTATACCTTAAAAAAAATCTAAATTTATGTTTTTAACAGGCAAAAACCTAAGCTTTAATATTTTTTAGTGTTAAGTAGATCCAATTTTTGGTGTCTGCACAAGTATTTTCTTACGTCTAATTATTTACTCTAAGATGGCTTTTCTGCCTTTCAAAAAATGGCAGTATTTTCTCTCATTGAAAAAATGCACACCAAAGTTTTTAATTATCAAAAGCCTTTATAGATCACATCAAAAGTTGCTACTTTTGCCTTCTGCATGTGCAGCTCCATTCATTGTGCTCATATTCTTGCCATCCTCTAAGCAATGTAGTCTGAACCACTATAGATTTTAAGCCTCTATAGTAGCAGAGGGAAATCTGAAGTCCAATATGCAGCATGAAACGTTCGCAGAGTAAGAAATCCATTTACCAAACAAGCCAGTGTTAAAATAACACGGAATAAAATGCAAATTTACTCTGCAAACAAGGCAAAGACATTTCTGTCATTCGGAGGAACAAACTGTATATTTTGCAGCAATAATGACAACAGACTTCATCAGCACTGATGGGGAGGTGTTGGCCTAGTGGATAAGAGCAGTGCGCTTGTGCTCTGAGAAGGTTCCAAGTACCCGGTTTGAATCCCTCTGCCTCCACCCTGGGTTCCTGAGTGTGACCCTTAACCTCCTATTGCTCCCCGGGCACCACAAAATGGCAGCCCACTGCTCCCGAAGTGGATTGGTTAAATGCAGAGGTAAATTTCTCCAATGTGAAATCAATAAAGTTTAATTATTATCTTGACTACATTTAAATAAAACCATGTTGCCATTTATTTTATTCTACATTCGGTTGACATTAGGAATGCAATTGAAGCTTTGGAGAAATGTAGAGAAACAACTGTCAAATTAATTTATATAACTGCCCTTTCCTGTACAGTATTTGATCTTTCAGCTTCGTCAATTAACAAAGCGTGGTTGAAATTGCACATCAGCGGCACTAATGATCAAAGGTTTTGTGTCCGATTATTTTCAGCAATAAAGGTAATACTCTAGATGTACTTTGGAAAGGTGTTGTACAGCAATAACTGAGCACAGATCCTTAAACAGTTAAATCTGCCCTGCAACCTGCTAAGCAAGGACATATCTACCAGAGTTATAAATCTTTCATCTGTGAGATAAACACAAACTAAACAGAGCAACAAAAAATGCTGAAAAAGAATGCATAGGGTCTATGCTCTGGCGTGTAACTGGTATGTAATCCCTGCTTACAAGGTGGCAAAAAAATAAATCATCTTGTTTTCAACAGGGTGCCTAAATCCAGAAAACATATCTTTTTAAGACTACTACTTTCATTGTCAGAAAAGGATGTGAAATAAATTTAGAAAAGAAAAGTAATGATGCAATTATAAATACAAAAAAAAAAATCAATGGCCCTTTTTTTTCTACTTGTATTGAAAAATATATACTCAACATTTATCTTTAATGTTTTAATCATTTTGGCAAAATATTCCAGGGCAAAGGTTTTAGCATTAACTTTCATTTGTGTGTTTGTCTATCACAGATGGCTACAAACTCCTCAGATGAATGGTCATGACCTCCAATGGGATTCTGTCCCTTTCACTTGAGAGCCTATTAATTGTCTGCAATTATCCTTTGCATGCATGGCAGCTGCCAGAGTTATCTTTCTTGTTCCCACCTGGATAAAAATGCCACAGTGATAAAGGTTGACTGCGACATTCACTATTTATTGCACAGTAGAGCTTGTACAGTTTGTCATATCATCTTTTGAAAAGAAAACATTTATGACTTATGGAGTCCTTCCTGATTCCAACTTCTTTCTCTGATAAATGTTTAGTTTTAGGTGAAAGGATTTTTTTTTTTTTTTATTCACAAAAATGACAGACAGCGCCTGGAAATTAATCCACTCTTTGAAAAATTATTTAGAATTTTGCAAAGTAGCTTGTTTAATGGGATTAAAATGTGTTATTCATTTTCACTGGACTAATTGATATTTCACTTAGTGCATTCAAACATCTTTAAAATTTAGTGCAAATTCAATGAAACAAAATTACATCAGAAAAGAAACAAACTGAGGAACTTATAAGGCAACAATATAAATATATCAAAAATAGTTATTAGAGAACTATCCTTGTTACAAAAATGGTACAAAGGTTTTGTCCTGCACTAGAGAGAAGGACAAATTTTTGAGTTCCTCTACCGATTTCACAGCCTTGTATCCCAGCTGCTTTAGTACCTTTTGACACATGGTTTGTGTGAAATCTACAATGTCATACGACAGTTTCAAACGCCAACTCTCTGCATTAGCTGCTGAATCCCTTACTGTTCCAAACTTGTGTTTTGCTGAAGGTTCATTGCTTCCTCGAGTATTTGCACGTATCCAGTGTTTCACATTTTTATCCATATGCAGCCCAAGAAAGTCATAAATCTCCTGAGTCTTTAGTAGAGGATTTCGAGCCAAATCCTCGTATCGAACCAACATGTACTTCCCTTTCAGCCAGTGGGGATGACTAAGACCAGTTGAAACTGAACCAAAGAAGTCCTCACAGATAACTGTGAGCTGATTCATGTCTAGATTATAGGGCCTTCTCCCTGTGGCCCTCCAAATGCGCCACAAACGGTATGGGTCCCTGAATGTTTCAATCCGGGATGATAGAATACCACGTGGGTCTCTCACAAGTTGAATGACTTTGATATTCAGCCGGGGGTCTTCAACCAAAGCCCGCAGATCTCCAATTTCCGGAACTCGAACTACTTTGATTGCCACATGCTTTTTCTCATGACAGGCCTCTGTTGCTAAAGTCATGTTTAAGGTTGAGCATTTCTTCACACAGTCTCCTTCTTCCACGTTAACATCCCCTGGACCAAAGGCATCACAGACAGGCTGCTGGCACAAAGCCCGGCTGGCACCACGGCGGAACAGCTTGTCCGTGGTGTGGTTTGTGGGTGTCGGTTTTATATAGTTCTCAAGGAAATAGAGATCGCAACCATACAGGCTGCGCAGTAAGTCTCGACTAGCACCTAATGTCACGCGGCGATCTGTAGGGTTACGGTTGTGTGACTGACGTGGGACCAACGTGGCATAAACATGATAAAGAGGCTCAAACAGGTAAAATATCTCCTGGTGCTGGTTCAGCAGCTGGCCAACAAAGGAGGAGCCACTGCGAGTGGTGGCCAGGACCAGTATGTGAAGTTTACGGGTGGCATTGACAGAAAAGTAAGGGTAGTCATCACAGCCAGCCCCACCTGCTGTTCCCCGCTCAAAGGAAGGATCTGTCTCCTGAGCCCCAAGACCACAGTTCTGGGGGCTGGGTAGTGGGCACAGCTGGAAAGGCTTGGAGGTGAGCGTCCGGATGGCTGTGTACTGGATGGCAATAGAAGCCAGAGCCAGCAGAATTACTGACTTCCAGGAACATTGCATGGCTGAAGCACTTCATCTAGACAGAGATGCCTATGCCAGGTCCCCCCTGTGAACAAAGAAGATTTTGTCTTTATTGCAGGAAGCAAGGTTTATTTTAAGCAATTTGATTTAAAAATGTTCTGGTTATTTTAACTAAAGTGCAAAACTTTCAGGTAAATTACATATTTTTATAGCATAAATGAATACTATCAGATATGTGATTGCAGTTAGTGATAGAGAGAGAACATAACGTCTATTTTGATAGATTTTCTAGAGAGGAGTAATGACATAACCTGAACTGTGACTGTTTTTAGAACTGACTGTGAGTCATCCATGGTTTAGTGCCACCCATATCATATTTACTTATGATTCTACCACAGATTTTTCTATTGATTTTCATGCTTATGGGGAAATGAGGTTACATAATTATATGCTGAACAAGAAAAGAACAAAAATGGATCTGAATAATAAAAAAAAAAAAGCACTGCAGCCACAAGACAGAATAACTTGTCCTAATCATTCAATTTACTTCCCTTCTCTCCTGCAAGCTCTGCAGTTTCATTTCTGGAAATTAAAATACATAAAAAAGTTCTAAAAGGCTACTTTTGGTGACTTTTAAATATGGCCTGCCAAAACATGTGCAGCAGCACAAGACCCCAGATTACAGCATAGTAAACACAGTATTAAGATTTTTTATTTTTTATTTTTTTATTTTTAGATTGATTATTTTGTCATTTTATACAAGACTGTATAAAAAAATATATTTTGTGTTAAACAGCTCTAGACAATTTCCTTTTTTAAAAGTGCAGCAGTAAAACAGTAATAAATACATAAAAAATTTAATAAAAACATGTGACTCTATTCAAACATATATTTACTAATATAAACCAATTTTCATTTAAAATAGCTACAAAAATCGACTCCTTTCCTTTATGAAATGAGAAATGTTACAAGTCCAAACAGTATACTAGAATGGTCCATGAAGCACATCTTTTACTATGCAACTAGGCTTGTTCTTTGTCTGTTTAATCATGTCCGCATCTAATTTGGCTTGGCAGGAGAGACAAATTATTGAACAGTAAGCTCCTTCACATTAGCAGAAAAAGTGCCAGAAAGGTAAAGTATGTAGTTTAAAGCTTCATTGCCAATGTCATGTCAAGGAGAAGTATTGCTGTAAGTGAGTAATGACATCATTTAAACAACAAGGAGTTTTAACTAATGCTCAGAATGATAAAATAGGCCCATAGTAAAGTGAACTTTAACTGTGTAAATAAAGTAGCACTCCAGAAGCCACACAGAATAGAATAAAACTCAACTTAAGCGCCAGGATACGTCTGTATAATGAAGAGATAATGCATTTTTAAGTAACATGCATGCCTAAAATGAAAATGCTAGATTTGTTACATAATAACTACTGTTTAGATTTAGTGACTTACTGTAACGGATGCGTTTTAACGCAGGGATGATGCTTTGTTTAATACAAACACCATTTAGTAAACGGTGTTTCACAAACAGAGAACATATGCGCTTTCTACTCAATGACATTTTGAATTAAAAGGCCCACTTCACTGCAGCGGGGACAGGTTAGAGACTGTCAAAGATTTTTCCGTGATGCAGGCAGCCTAACCAAAGCAGCGATAAGACAGAATAATTACATCCTAGTCCTGCAGAAATGCTGGATTTTCGATACAGAATAAATAGCATCTAAAACCAGTTATTTATCAATATCAAATACTGATTGAGTCTTATTCCGTTATACCTTGTTGTCGGTTGCTGCGTCCTCATGATGCGCGCTGCGGTGCGTCCACGAATAACCGGCTGTGTTTTAGTCCTTAAACGTCTCCCCGTTGTTTTCCAGTCAGAAGGGAAACAAACGCGCCTGGCAACCCCCCCGACATTACATCCAGGGCGAGGCGTTCGAGTTCAATGGTTTGTGTCGGACACACAGATTAAAACAAATGAGGAAAGGTGATGGAGCAACGCAGGAGCGGAAGTGTTATTAATAAACCAACCAGGCTGACCGAGGTAAGCAGCGGCCAAACTCCCTCCTTCAATGATGCGGAGAGGCAGAAAGTGAGGTAGGCAACACAAGGAGCGACTGTCTGGACCACCCCCGACCCCTCCCCCTACCCACCTGCCTCTCTCTCTTTTTCTCTCTCTCACGCAGACACAATCACAGTGGCGGTTCTAGACCAAATGTTCCAGGGGGCCAGGAGGAGACCAGCATTTTTCCATGGGGGCACAGAAAAGCATGAAGCAAAAAAACTGGGTATTCAAATATATTAAAAGAGCTGCATGAAGTGAAATTTCTTCAATTAGATTTAGTTAAAATGATGTCTCTTCTAACTGAAAATACTTTATTTTTGGCTCAAAAATTTTAATTTGGGCTACGTTCACACTGCAGCCTGAAGTCACCAAAATCCGATTTTTTTCCCCCATATGCGACCTGGATCTGATCTTTACATAGCTGTCTGAACAACACAGATCCGATTTTTTCCAATGCGACCCAGGCCACTTAGCTATGTGGTCCTCAATCCAATACAAATCTGATCTTTTCAAATGCGACCTGTGTGTGAACGGCCAGGTTGCATTCATCCGACCTGAACGTCATTAATACCCGACAAACGTCACTATTATCCATCATGCTGTGCAGAAGCGGCAAGAAAAACAACAACCATGGCAGATGATGATGCGGGCAGCAGTATTTATGTTTAAAAATATTGAAAAGATTGAGTTTTTATGGTTGGAAAAGACCGTTGGATGCGTGCCGGCACTTCCATCCATTTTTACTTCCGGAAAAAAAGAGCATTTAATGACTACAGCTCACACAGGAGATCACATGTTGCATATTTTTGGAAATATGAACGGCAACGCGAAAAAAATCAGATTTCACAAAAAAATCGGAATTGAGCATTAAGGCCTGCAGAGTGAACGTAGCCACGGATTATCGTTAAAATCATAACAAGTACTAATATCTACATAAATTGGTTATTTAGTAGGTTTTTATTAAAATAGTGATTTATCTGTGATTTCACCGAAGACTCCTAGATGACTTGCAGAGACACATAATTTTTTCTTTAACGCATAAAACACAAAATCTATTTCTGCTTTAATTCTGTACTTCTCTTTAATGTTACCATATTGATGTGCATAATTAACCACAGAGTTTTTGTTGTCAAGTAATTGTTAATATATGAAAAATTTTAATGTTTTTTATATTCCACTTCAGAGTATTACTGTTGCCACCATGTGTATTAGAGGGAAATAAATGTTAGGGGTGGACACAGGGGTGGCCAATGATTGGCAAAGGGTGGCCATGGCCACCCCTGGACCCCCATCTTAGTCCGCCCCTGAATATCAGTAAGCAGAGACTGCAGTTGCTTAGGGCCCCCCGACCTCTTAGGGGTCCCGTCACTGACACCTGGTTGGCCCGCTATGCAATTGTGGAATAAGACGTCTGTTACTAGGTTGACTGACCAGACCGTATTTATACTGCAAGCATTCAACATCATGGTGAGCCTTTTAAACACCAAACCAATAGCAAAGCAAACAGTGGTACTTTTAATTGCTATGCTAATAACTGTGTATAGTTCATTAGACGGTTGGTTAAAAATACACTCACATAATATGTTTCAGATCCCAATAAAGATCTTAAAAGAACAATGTATTTGAGTATTTTATTTTTTACAATACGAGTTGGAATTATGGGTAATCCAGAGTGTAGATTAAAACCATAACCGTTATGTATAATGTGTACTTAAGCGGATTCCAGAAAAGAAAAAGCAAAGAAGAGCTGCTGGAAGAACGGAAAAAACTTCCCAAAATAAATAAATCAACTATCACATGAGTGGTTAGGTAGATACTGACTTTAATATTGGAATTAAATATAGGAGTCTTTCAAAGAGTAGACATAAAAAGGAGGTTAACATAAAAGGTAAGAGAAGGGATGCACTCAGGCTCTTATTGGAATTGTGAAACCCTTCAAGATAAAAGAGATTAGATTTAACACTGAGTTTCAAAAGATTAGAAGTAAGCCATACCAGGTTAACTCAAAGATGGCGGCTAAAGTTTTGGACTTGAGCTTGAGTGATACCTTATTCACAAAACTAAAGACTTGACCTAGACTTAGGGTCTAAAAGCCATGTCTTTCTACAGAGCAATATACCTTAATTCAGTGCGGTGACAGGACCTAATTTACCCCTGATATAATGTTAATTCAATGTAGCCTTGATCTAGACTAGACGTCTGCAATTTTTAAAATCTATAGAGCCATCTTGCCCTGAGTTAAGCTAAAAATCTGCTGTAGGAAATCTGTTGCCATAGTAAAGAACCAACAGTTTATTTATATTTTTAGGCTTTACAACAAGGGAAAATAAAATACTTTTCTTTAAAAGGAAGAGTGGATTTCCCCTATACAATATTATTTGATATATATCTTTATTAAAAAGATAAATAATATCAATGAAAAGAAAGAGCAAATATATAAAAATCATAAATTTGAACCAGAAAAATGTGGCTTGCTCTCTCAATGGTGGAGGAGAGTTCCTACCTTTAAGTGTAGGATTTTTTTGTGTGTGTCTTGCTTTGCCAATATAGCTCTGGAAATATATGTCCTAGAACTACAGAAGACTTAGCTGAGCCTGAAAGCTAAGCTCTTGATTTAGAGGTTCTAGAGTCCTTGTATTAAATCTCAATTATGACAGAAAGAACAAGATCCTGGATACAAGCGGCTGAAATGAGCTTTCCTTGCAGGATGGCAGAGCACTTTCTTGGAGATAGACATCTGTTCTAGATGCTTCCTGGGCCGCTTCTTTGGAAGTGGAAAGAAATAGCAAAAAAAAAAAAAGGTTTAGGGCTGTCATGTGCATAGAGTTTGCAGAACTGAAAATAGAGATGTGGTTAAGATAAGCTGCACTGCAGAAAATAACATCTTCTAAATTTAGGTTACACATCGGCCAAAGACTAGAGCTTCTAGTTTTTGAACATTGGTTAGAAATAACTGATCCATAAGATTGTTTTTAAGCAAAAAAAAAAAAAAAAAAAAATTAATGACAAGTTTGAATAGTGCTTTATCCGAGCTATAGTTGAGAGGGGTGCTGGTACCTATCTCCAGTTGTCAATTGGCACACTTAAGGAGAATTTAGAGAAGCCAAATAACCTAACAGTCGGAGGTTAGCCGGAGGAAGCCAGAGTACCCAGAGAAAACCCACACCTGCACGGTGAGAACATGTTAACTCCATGCAGACCCCAGGCTGGGAACTGAACCCGGGACCTTCTTGCTGCAAGGCACCAGTGCTACCCACTGTGCCACTGAGCAGCACTGAATAGGAACATGAGATAAAAAAAATAAAAAGTAAAATAAAAGTTTAAGGAAATTACAGGCGTAACACATTCAATAAAAAAAAGTACTCGAACCAGATAAGAACCAACTGATGTCAAAGGGTGTGTTAATAATCACACTGCAATGCAGTAAATAACTGAAAGTAGGTGAACAAACAGTGCCTTTTGAACTATATGAGTATTAAATTGTTATAACCTATAGTTGTTTTCTGTCTGCCTCAAAGAAAAACATTTGCAATACAATGCAGTTCATTTAATGACATTGCTCTATTACATTATTTCTAACGGCTGGACAGTACCTGAGACTTCTCATGGCCCAAAAACAGATTTAAAAAGTGAGGTTGCTTCCCTGTGCAGCTGTTAAAAGAGCAACTACCTCTTAAGTATAAGACTTTATTATCATGCTCTGCTGACATTCCTCCTCCCTGATCGGAGATACTGGGCATATGTTTTCAGTCTGGGCACAGTGTGGTGAAGGGGGCTTTTTTAGGTAGATATTCTCAAACCACTCGTTTTCACAGTTCAATGAGATAGTACTTAAATACCACATGATTTTGATGAAGGAATACCATTATACATTATTATGTAGATGTTGTGTTAGGATGATGTTATGGTTCACACAATCATGAGAAAGAATACAAAATTGATAGTTACCAGAAAGGTAGTGAAAGGGTCCACTAGAATTGATAATAATATCATCATCATTAAGTGTTAGAGGTTTTTTAAATCAAAGTTTTCTTCCCAACAGCAATTATAAAATGCATAGCAGCATTCTATACCCGGCAAATTTTGCATCTAGGCAAGAGCTGTCAGTCTGCTAAAGAATCTGGTTGTTATTTCTAAATTGTAAAGGTTAATTTGTTTTGCAACATAAAACTGACTAAAACTAGACTAAAACGCTTTAAAGTTTTATTCCACTAAAATTGACTAAAACTATCACATATCGTAATGAATAAATTGCAACTAAGACTAATAATAGTTTTTATCCTGAAGAATAAGACTAAATCTAAGATGGCTGTTAAAAGCAACACTGGCTGCATATAAGCGGTCTGGTTTTCACTTCTCATTGCTGGTTTCTTTTATTGCTCTGCCTGTGTTCTGTTGCTCTGTTCCTTTACAGTTTGTTGTCTGTGTTCCTTATTTAGTTATTCCTGTGGTCTGCTCTGCAAGTATATCTTTTTTGCTGTTAAAAAACAGTTTTTTCCTTTGTATCTGCAACTAGGTCCATCTGAAACCTACAAATTATAACAAATAGGGTAATTGTTAAAGAGGCTGGCTGATCAGAGTGATTAGTTACATTTAAGAAAATGTTAGTGAAAGGTAAAACTATGGTAGAAGCACTGTTTTATAACCATAGCCTTAATAGGATAATAAGAACAGGTCTATTAAAGAGCAAGTTCAGATTTACAAGGCATTGACTACAGGCTGTATGACTGATTTAATAAAGAGATATCTGGGACACAGATTTAAACTGGAACATTTTATGTGTTAAGCCTATCCTGACTTGGAGATGTCAGTTGTGTCTTGCCTTAGTTAAGGAGAATAAAAGAACTAGACTAGTAAAAAAAACAATTTGTAGAAAGTCAATTTTCCAATTAGTTTGAATTCAAGGTCTGAGTTTCCAAAGTAAAAGCAGGGGGACAAGTCCAAGTTGCTTGAGGTCAAATGTGAAAAGTTACATCTTGTGATTTGAGAAACCACATTCATCGCTATATAATGTGGTGTAAGAAAA